TGTCCAGACTGAAGTTCTTCAAAATTATCTGAAGATTCAAGGACTACCCTGATGTTTTTTTTTTTTTATTTGAAGTTCTGCTAATTTCTCTGAAGAATTATGGACGTCCCTGAAGTTCTGCAAGTTTCTAAGAAGATCTACGAGATGCCCTGCTAATTTCTCTAAAGCATTGCAAATTTCCCTGAAGTTGCAAGTTTTATTTTTCCTAAAGTTCTGCAAATTTCTCTGAAGATTTTTGGACTTCCCTGAAGTTCTTCAAAATTCTTTAAAGATTCATAAACTACTTCTGTTTATTTTTTATTTTTTTAAGTTTTACGAAATTCCCTGGAGTTTTCATATATTTCTAAAGATTTACGGACTTCACTGGGGTTCTACAAAATTCTCTGACTTTCCTGAAATTCTTCAAATTTCTCAGAAGATCTACGAACTTACTTGCGAACTTCTCTGAAGCTCTACGAACTTACATATGAACTTTCCAAAAGTTCTTCATACTTTCCTACAAAATTCTCTGACTTTCCTGAAATTCTTCAAATTTCTCAAAAGGTCTACGGACTTCCCTACAGTTCTTTTAATTTTGCTAAAGATTCACGGACTTCCCAAATGTTCATAAAATTTCTCTGAAGATGTACGAACTTCTCTGCAAACTTTTCTAAAGTTCTATGAAATCCCTAATCAAATTTGTATGGTTATTTTCCTTAACAACGTGTTTAGGGTATCATCTCAACCATTTGTGGAATAGTTCAATAATTATGGGTTATGGTTCGGGAATGGTATTTTGCATTAGGGCATCCCTGAAGATCTGTTAGCTTCGCTGAACTGCCCATAAAAGCATAAGAGTCCCATATGGATTTTTTTTTATCAGAAATGAGTTATCTATAAGAATCCATTGTAAACTATCTGTATTTACACTGTGCACTAAAAGTCACATGTTTTGTTAAGAGAATATGGTAAAAAAAATACCAAAACTTGGTTGTCCCATTCACTAGAGTCTAGGGATAGATACATTTTCAACAGCGTTTTTCTCGGCTTGCTGTTTTTCCGGATGGGACTGATATGCTTTTATGGGCAGTTAAGTTCTGCAAATTTCTCTCGAGATACAGACTTCCCTGAAGTTCGTCGAATTTATTTGAAGATCTTCGAGCTTCCCTATGGCCTTCTCTTAAGTTCTGCTAATTTATATGAACTTTCTTGACGTTCAGCAATTTTATCTGAAGATCTGAGAATTTCTTAAAATTTATCTGGATATATATAAATTCCCTGCACATTCATTTTAGATTACCGGAGTCGTTGAAGTTTACTGGGTTTTTGATTTGCGGGACACCCAGTAATCAAATCATCAACAATTTGCATTACCTTCATTCATTACATGGTTCAGTAATTTGATAAACAAATTTTCGGTAAAAGACAACTGACGAAATTAGTAAACCCGACTTTATCATATAATTGACCTTCCGGAACACACGATTTGTACAGTGAAACTGTACATGCAGTTATTTGGTTTGTTTTTATTTCGTTTTAAGTTTGTGATTGTTAAGATGCTCTTCATGTGAGGCGTGCTGTGTTCTACATACATGTTTTCGTCCAACTTGACGCACTATTCAGAGGCAGACCATGACGAACCGGATGCGGCTACTGAAAAAAAAAATCTGAAACACATTCTTCTGAAATTCTGGTCAAATCTAAGTGTAATTTTTCAAATGGAACACAACCTTAGTATTTTTTTTATTTGTTCAATCGGTAGATAAAATATGTACCGGGGACTTATTGGAGGGATTCATGGCTAATTGAGATCATCTCGATCAACTATGAAATGTTGCATAACATTGATGAAAAATTGTGCACTCCGTTTTTGTTTGTGCATTTATCTTTAGCGTTTTGAAGTTGAATTGCTGAGGATCTCATTACCACATAAAAATTTCAAGAGTACAGATATCAGCTCTCACAAAACTTATAACAAAGAAACTGGAACTTCACGTTTTTGTTGCAGTCCAGTACACAAGAAGTTTCAATTTCATGAGTGATGTCACAACAGTCCAAGATTTATGTCCTAGAAATCTTGAAGTGATAGGGAATATCAGCCATCATGACGGTCATTGTTGGACGCTTCAATGAATCACTTGAAGAAAGCCTTACTCATATCTGATAGTAATTTAGGAACCAAAAATATGTACTCGCATTTTTATGAGGTCCTGAATTTAACCAAGTTTTACTAAGTAGAAAATTCAAAATATGTACATAGGACCGAAATCATAGGTTATTTCTACTGTATTTTAAATCAATATCTAGAAAAAATGCACGAGAACTTCACTACACCGCTTAACGTAGTCTGCGTCAACCATGCGGTCGTGTCTTGTACACAACCCCACTTTTTTTTTCTTTTCGAATAAGATATTACAGCTGCAGACTTTACAAAATGCATTCGGTAATTAAGAGTAACAGTTTAATTAAAACACAGTAAAATTTTGAAGAATACCGTTTTTTCAGTAGTATTTTTTACCGAACTTCTCTGAATTATCGAAAGCATCCAATTTAATTACTTATTGGGTAAATTTAATTGTTGTTTTCAATTCTTTTTGCCATTCATTACAGATTTACAGTTTTTAAATACTGTATATCGGTATTTCATAGTTTTTAACAGAAGTTTCAGTTAAATGAACATTTTACTGTACAGCAAGACCAGTAAAAAAAATACTGATCATCAAAATACTGTTTAAGTGTGGACGGACTTCCCTGCAGCTCTGAAAATGTATATGAAGATTCACGAACTTCCCAAAAGTACTTAAAATTCCTTTGAAAATTAACGGACTTCCCTGAAATTATACAAATTTATACACGAAACGAAAATCAATTATTTTTGCCAAAACATCAGCCTTATATATTCCATAAGACAAACCACATAGGTCCTATAAGAATGCATAAAAGGTATGTGTGACCGCTTATATATTTCATTTGACACATGATCTTCATTAACTTTTTGCAAGGCGTCTGCTTATTAGTTGACTTATACATTTTATGAATAATCAGCAATAGATATTTGTTAAAAGGTATAAAGAGATTTCTATCCGTGTATGAAGATCTACGAACTTCTCTGTAACTCTACGAATTTTCATGAAGTTCTGCAAATTTTTATAAAAGTCTACGAAAAAAAAACTTCCTTGCGACCTTCTCTAAAACTCTGCATATTTCTCTGAAGTTTAATGATGTTCTCAGAAGCGCTACGAACTTTCAAGATGTTCCACACTTTTCGCAGCAGTTCTATTCTTTTTCAAAAGTTTTATGAAATTTCCCAACTCTTCAGAATTTCTACTAATCTTTCATAAGTTCTAGGAATTTTTTCGAATTTCCCAGAAGTTAAACGAATTTTTTAATTCTTCGATTTTAATGTATTTTCCAGAAGATCTAAGAATTTCCCAATAACTCGACGGTTTTCCTTATAATATAATATATAACAACATAACATATTATGTGTGACACACATCATAATAAAATAAGTTGTTAAGTTACTCTACGAGCAGGAGCACCTAGGTTAAAGCTTGAATGCATGTCTTGCTAATTGCATCTAAAACTGGACTGCCCGAAAAATGCAAAAAGTGTGATAAAGTGCACGTTTCCGTCAAATCGTTTTGGTGTCTCATGAGCTATTATTGCTTGCATCATTAGAAATAAGTGCACCGAAGACACTAAGACGGTTAGACGAAAAATCTCACTTTTAATGAGTGAAAATGCGCATATTTGTCCAGTTTGATGTGAAATACGCAACAAATTGATTGAAATTTGGAGCAAATAAAGAGTTAAAAAACAGCATCAACAAAATGATACTCAGACGATCTTTGTCTTTTGTTCCCCTAACAAGTGTGGCTTTATAAAAAGATCTGCTGTTTTCCAGGCTGTATTGGTTAAGAAAATAAGTTAAAAGTCGGAATATTTAGTTTATTAATCTCTTTGCTAACATAAGACGTCATCAATGTAGGTAACCAAAAGAAACTTTCTTAATAAAAAATAAAAAAAATTAATTAAACAGCAACTGAAACTGGATTAGGTTTTAAAGCACTTAAAAAGGAAGTTTATAGGGACTTTCCATAGAAAGTACCTGCTACTTTCCGTAGCATGTTCCAAGAGCTCCCCGTAAGATGTTCCTAGAACCTACTCTTGCTAGTTCCTACGGGAAGTTCTTGCAACTTCTTACGGAACATTTTCGCATCTTCCTGCAGCCAAGTTCCAAACCTCGACCGGAATACACTCCGGGTGACTGGGGATTTCCTTCTGTTATTGAAGAACTTTTGTTGGTTCAGCATTTAAATACAGAAGATGCTGCCAATTAAAAATGCCTTGAACTTCCCGTTCGAAAGGGCAACAAATTCCGGCTGGAAATTTCAAGAGCTTCCTGCAGAAAGTTGCAAGAACTTCCCACAGGACGTTGCATAAACTTCTCTCAGGTTCCTGTTTACAATTAAAAAAAAACCTGTTAATATTCAAAAGATTTGAATACAAATTGTTCTTACCAAAATGAATATCGGAATATAATTTTGCTGCTTGATTATTTACACTCTGCTGCTCATCGATGCTATCCGATCATGAAGTTTGACACTTCGCTCGAGAGCGAAGTGTCAAACTTCGTGCTCGGATGGCAGAGTGTAAATAAACGAGCATAAATTCCACCACAGAGGTGGTCTAACGTCGTCTAACCAGCCATACAAAAAAATGTCTAACGTTAGTCTCACGTTAGACTAACATGTTAGATCGAAAAGAGCTGTAACGTCTAACATAATGTGTCATATCAGTCTAATATTAGACGAACATTAGACTAACGTTAGACCAAATGTTAGTCTAATGGTCTAACGTGTTAGACTAACGTTAGACTCATGTTAGACTAACCTTCCGTGCTGGGCACCGAGAAAAAGCGGTGTGTAGAACTCAGTGGGTAACGCATTCTTCGGGAGATAGCTGTCTAATTGTTTGTAAACAAAGTTTTATGAGAACGAATCGCCACAAGTGAAACGCGTATCGCAGCAGCTTCAAGGTAAAATCTGCATCAAAATGTTGCGCAAAAAGTTGAAACTGGCCGATCAACCGGAAGTGAACCCGTGTGCCACCAATCACCCATTAGAATTCTCATTGAGTTCATTCATCAACGAACCGAAACCGAAGCTTTCGTCGATCGCCCCACCACCCGCATCCGCTTTGACCTCATCTCATTTCACCATCGACTCCGCCGAGCATAAACCATCGGAAATTGGAATCCAATTGGAAATCATTCCAATCTGGAAACGCGTGTACCAGCTGGAACTGCAGCTGTGCGAAGCCCTCAAGCAGATAACTCTGCCATCGGAAGTGGCAGCCACGTACAATCCCATCGAATATGCTGCCGGTCTTCATTTGGCTTACATGGAACGCTTCCTGAATGATGGTCACAAACCGGTGCTCTTTCTCGGCATGAACCCCGGCCCGTGGGGAATGTGCCAGACCGGGGTGATATTTGAATTTCCGCGGTGGAGATGTGTTGGAGAAAAATTAATGCTTTTTTTTTTGCTCCGTATGTGCTGTAGGTTCCATTTGGATACGTGCCGGCGGTACGTGATTGGATGCAACTACAGGGACCGGTAGCGAAACCGATAGGGGAGCTAGCCGTGCGACCGGTGGATGGACTGAACTGCACCCGTGGCGAACAGAGCGGACAACGCTGGTGGGGTCTGTATCGGGAGATTTGCGGAGAACCGGAGAACTTCTTTCGGAATTGTTTCGTGTTCAACATTTGCCCGTTGGCGTTCTTCCACTCCAGTGGAAGGAACATCACTCCGGCAGAGCTGAAGGTGAGTTTCACGCGGTAGATTATTTGTGGATGCGGTTTGTAACGATGGTTGCCTATACTGAAGGGGGGAACAACACGCGTTGCAAGTTTTCTTGTCATCTTAGCTTTTTTTTTTGCTGTTATTTGGTGCGTTTGTTTTTGTTTATCGCTAGTGTGGCATGGCATCGAGTGATGTGGACCTTTCGATGTTGTTGGGGAAGGCATACTTACCTGGTATAGGGGTTACCGTGATCATGAAGGCGGTTCCCCCAGGGTGAGACTTGTCCATTGCACTTCGGCCGAGTTGACCCCTGCGATTATCCCTCATGTGGATACTCGTGTACGAAATTTTTGATAGCCGGGACTTGCGTACGCGCACGTCCCGATCCTTAACCCAAAAATTCAGTGGGAACTGTACTGAAACCTTAAATAATCTTTTCAGGGAGCAGCCAAGTCTCGCATGCAGGAAATCTGTTCCGAGTACCTGAAGAAAGCGCTGGACTTGTTCGCTCCGACCGTCATCGTGTCCATCGGCCGGTACTGTGAGGACCGCGTCAAGCTACTGGTTAGGCAAAACCTGCTCGATCCGAATCGCGTCAGGTTGCTCTGCATGCCCCATCCGAGCCCCCGCAGTCTGAACAATACTAACTGGCCCGAGAAGGCCCAACAGTGGCTCGTGGATAACGGTGTTATGCCGTACCTGAAGGCGTAGGAATTGCATTCAGCATTTTCCAAGATAAATCGATCTCCTAATTGGCAATAGCAGAGAGTACAAATAATTTGTGTTGTGTGTGTGCAAGAGAGAGAGAGAATGGATCACTTTATGGAGCAAGCTCTGGAGCAGGCACGCAAAGCGGAACAACTGAAGGAAGTCCCGGTGGGATGTGTGTTCGTCTATCGGCATCAAGTAATCGCCAACGGGTGTAATCTGGTGAATGAAACGAAGAATGCCACCCGCCATGTTGAGTTCATCTGCATCGATCAGGTTTTGGACTATTGCAAAACCCAGGACCTGAAGTATGAGGACGTATTCCGGGAGGTGACAGTGGTGGTAACGGTTGAACCATGTATAATGTGTGCGGCCGCTTTGATCCAGTTGAATGTGAAAGAGATTATCTACGGATGCAAGAATGACCGGTTCGGTGGCTGCACCGTGCTAGATGTTCCGGGGCTGCTCAAAACTAACATTCCCATTCGCGGTGGAGTACGGGCGGAAGAAGCGATGGACTTGCTGAAAGAATTCTACAAAGGGGAAAATCCCTCTGCTCCCGTTCCTAAGGTAAAATCTCAGAAATAAGTTTCATTGATCGGTATTTTGTTTACATGTTTCCTTTTATTTCTTAAAAAACCCGGTGCAATTTTACTTTATCCGAATTCAACAAACGATTAAAAAACACTAAAAAAAAAAAAATACTTCTGCTAATTGAACGCAAAGCACTTACTTCTTGTCGTGCTTATCGAAGGTCAATTTCAGTGCCTCGCCCTTTTCCTGCAGCCACGGTCGGCTCCAGGCCGTGATCTTGTACTCCTGCTGCGCTTCGTCATCCTCGAAGATGATGTAGAACGTGTGCAGCGTTCCGGCCACCACCTGCTGGGTGGCGCGGATCAACTTGTACTTCCGCCCGGCGTGCGTTCCCGTCTGACCCAGGGCAGCCTTGATGAACTCGTGATGTTCCGGGTGGTTCAGATTTTCGGTATGGCTGACTCCACCGCACTTTCCTTCATCGGATGCCATTCTGGGTACGAGAGAAGTTCAATCAGTTAGTTAGTTATCAGGACGAGAACTGGATGACTCAAACTTACGTTCTTTTGTAACGAGAAACTTAAACCGAATCAAATGCGTCGTCAACTGTTGAGCGATCAATGGTGCGATTTATGCGTACTGCAAGCTGGTTTTATACCTCTTATGTGCACAAAACCCGATGATCAGAAGCTGTTATCGCTGCGTGTCTCTGGATAGACAAAAGAAAGAATAAGTTTGTTGCATTATCATTTACTGTTGTCAATCTCTATCTCTGCATTATGTGCGTTATACACTGATGCTTTGTTTGATCGCAAAGGGACACTGCTATTCTTGTTGTTTGCCCTGTTGCTTCAAGTTCGAGTGATAGACGATAGTGAATGTGCAGTAGCAATCGACCTTGTCCCAGTCCCTTATATTTGATGGGAATGGTTACAGTGGGATGACTTATTATTGAAGTTGGAACATAGCAACATCTACCTATTTCTTGAACAGACCGACTATATTTTAGTTTTAGCTAAAGCTCAGCTACTTACACAACACCCTGATTAACTTCAACGACAAAGTGTGACTATTCAGTGGAATATTTTTCTTTGTGCTATCCAACACAGGCAGATTCACTCATACCTATCTACTTAATAATAATTGCCTACTGAAGATTACCATCCCTATTCTCTATTCCGGATTTCCCATACTATTTTAACCAGATAGAAATGCAAAATACAATGTCGAGCCGAAACTAATGGCACCAAAACTGGTTTTTCGATGGCATCCGACCATGCTACGGATCAGTTGAGGGAGTTCCCCAGAAGCAATCTTTTTACGAATTTAAGCTGTTTGATAAAATATATTCATGGCGAGCTGGGCCAAACTGGTCTTAGTCGCCTGTAGACAGTCGCAAAGAAAAAAAAAAATATACATTCACTCACCTCGTCCAGCAGGGAATATTAAATTCTTATGAGATCACCTACTCTCCACTAGAACTACGACTAAAAATCTAGAGTGATTGGGATGATTCACGGCTTGCGCTTGTTTTGTGTTTATATTTCGTATTTTTTACACACACTCGTAAAAAATGTATACCATCAGGTAGCTCACGATTCAATCATAACAAAACGGGACACGTTCACATATTCTCCAGATTCAAATCTTGTTTCGATATCTTCCACAATTTGCAAGCAAGATTAATCGGTGAGAGCCAGATGGGTGACTCGCATTTATATACACTGAACCAAATTGCCCACACATGAATGTATGATTATTGCTTCACTTCACGGAAACCGGCAAGTTTTTCACTGGAGATCCAGTAAAATAAAATGCCGAGCTGCTCGGTGGTGCCTATCTAGGCAAAACAAATCTAAGTGTGTATGATTAACATTGAAAAGGATACGGACTCGTCATACAGTTTCAAAATAAATTGTCATGCAATGTTAAAATGAAATATAAGCGCATCTGAATGAAAAATATATAAAAGAAGAAAGCTTATTTTACAATCCTGATGAATGTAGGCGTCTTAGTGGAATACCTGTATAATGAGAGAGAGAGAAGGATTAGTATTTTCCATTTAATTCCACTACTTTATTTGCTTATCCTTGACAGATACGCGTATTTCGTCTACAATGTGCAAACTTCTTCAGTGTCTTGTACTAATACTCGACTTAAAAATTGTGATCATAACGAAATATATCTAAATCTTTGGAACTGTAAATTCCCTCCCCTTGGCTAGTTTTTTAACCTGGACGTTGGTGGGCGGGCCTAATCTTATGCTTCATAGTGGAGCGTTGGAGACGGTTGGTTTAGGTCCGGCATCGTTGGCTTATGCCGTGACAGAATAGCGTCATGAGCATGCGATGAGGATTACTGAGCTTCATGCTTGGCATGCACAGTTTTGGACACAAACTGCTCATTTGCTAGTGACTTTGCACACAGTTGACAAAACTTAGTTCTGTTTGAAGCAGTAGATAGAGTAAAGTTCAAGCTTGTAATAGGTACGTAAGAGAAGGTAGATTTTATTTCTAGTAATAAACTGCATTTGTTTTTGCGTTGTAAAAATGAAGTGAGAAATGCTCGCTGCACATCTCGGACTTTAAGTGTAAAAATTCATTGGTGTTGATTCAAATGTTAAGATTTACCTACTCTTTGTATATCTATAGTAGGCTATGATTCTGGTCTATCAATTACTTTAAGGAAAATCAATTTTCAACAACTGAGTGAGGGGTTGTTGGCAAATGAGCGGTTGGTGTGTACGACTGTGCATGCCAAGCATGCTGAGCTTCCCCTCTCTGATGAACCATTGCATAAGAGAACCAAAGTTCTAGCCTGAAGTGATAGTATCACACTTGTTACTCCTTTAGTTGAAAGCCGCGTCGTACGCTTACGTATAGGCACTGACGTTGGGTGTGATACTGGCGGGTTTAGCCGCAAATCACTCTTATTTTATTTATTTTTACGCAGATAGATTTATTTGGGTTTGCAAGGGAATTATACTATTGAAATATTTCAGAAAGTGCCCAACAGTGCTCCTTCTACTTGCGTGACAAGCTTTCGTTGTTGTTTTCGTTGAGGTATTACTCAGGGAACAATGTTAAACACCATTTTTGTACATGGTATTGCAACTAATCTTATATGTGCTTCATTTTGATTTGGGATAAGTGTTTGAACTATGGTTCGGGATTTCCACTGTGGCGTGCTTCTATTGTGACATAACCATACGTATTTTTTAGGTGCGACATAGTGGAAACGTGTGAGCGTAGTTGAAGCATATACCCTATGTAATTAAAAAATCAGCTAGGAAACTAACTTCAAAGTGAAGCATTTTAGTCACTTGAAGGTGTCACCTGGGACGAACTAATATATATTAAATATAGGTCAAAGTCAAAAACAACTTGAAACACGTTAAATTTTAGATTACATTCACAAGTGCAGGTACTTAATAAAGCATGGTAGGTAGATTAGAGATTTCAATTATTTATTAAATTAGACTAGAGATATCATAATCATCAAACGAACTTAAATAAGAAAATTTAGACAGCCTAGTAGCATTAAGTGGATTAACAGAAGAGTTAGGATGCGGAGGGTCCGCTTAGGGAGGCAACTAGCCTTTAAAGCAACTGGCAATTAGCCTTTTCATGTATTGTCTGTTTATTTTGATTATTGCTTTAAAATATCGATTTGGTATATATGTGAAAGGATGAATCAGTGGGAGATGGATTTTCGGTTTCTTTACATTTAGCATCACTATGTGTCATTTCCTCAAAACCCTTCAATAACCGGCCTCTTCAATCCCTTCCTTTTCCCATGGCGTTCAAGTGGTCCGCATAGACTATTCAGCCATTACCCGTCCTTTATCCTCGGCTTTGGATTGACTTGCGCTCCCATTGCCCCACCAAATGCTGCAAAATGAAAATGAAAATGAAATCTTTGGAACTGTAAATTAATGTTGTAAATGAAACGCTTCTGTTTTACAAGTTGAACAATATTGTTTTATTCATTTATTGAAACATTTTTCAAGTTCAACTGATCGGTCAAGGATACATTGTAATTAAAATTCTGATCCTGTATTATGTATTCCATTGCATTTGTCTGTGAATAAAAGGGACCCAAGTAATCAAAAGTTCTGATAAAAGGCTATTTGTGGCTTAAGCAGCTTGGTTGGTGTTGGTGTATAGAATTCTAAGCAGCCTCATTTTTTAGTTGAGTTTTGCAATTCCTCCTACTTCGGTTAGCGCGAAAAAGGCGATACAAGTTTTTTTTACATAAGATGATAGACCCTTCAAATGTTACGTTAGGTAGTGATTAATAAATTAATTGAGAATATGTCCCTCGAATTCATGGAGCATTGAAAAAAAAAAAAAACTAATATGTGGTGGTAAACTATAACAAACAAAGTTTGGTGCACAGGTAAACAAATGACGCACGTGACGCCTCTGGGCAAACTATAAGACCCGTAGTTTTTATGTTGTCATAAGGGTGACCATTTCCATGTTAGGGTGGTCCAAAATATCAATTTGTTTTCAAAAATGACTTTCTTCAAAAATTCATAACTTTTGAACCACTGGCCCGATTTCAAAGATCAAAATATCAAATAAAAGATAATTAAAAATACTTTTTGGGAAAAAATATATTTACAGTGAAGAAAATACTGGAATTTTGTGTTGAAACACATTGATTGTATTGTTTATTTTTTTATGGGTTTTCGCTCAATACTCCTATGCGACTAGACTACCATGCGTCGTGACCATGTTACAGTCGCTATAAATCAATACCGTCACCGTACCGCACTCGTATATATCGGAAAAATCTCGAGAATAAAAAAAAGGCTAACGGGTGGCCATTCTGCAATCAGTTTTAAGTGAACTATCAAAACCATTAAAAGTTCATATTTAACATTTACTTAAGTTTCCCAAGTCTAAGATCTCATCAAAAATAAAAGCCTCGAAGTTTCGAACTCCAAGATCAAGATCTTGAACATTTCCAGAACCGTATAATTAAAAGAATCAAGTTTCAGACACTTGATTGATTTCTAGTTCTCAATCTTAAATACATTTAAAATATTTTTGCTAGTGTTGGAGCTTGAAGACTTCTCATTTTCCCCAATTTTGTAAATTTCTCCATGTCTGGAATATTTGATTTTAAATAAAATTTCCTGAATGTTGAAGATTTTTCTAAATCCCACATCATTGAAAAACAAATCGAGAACACAAAATTTACATTTTTTTGATCTGGAAAATTTGAATTCCATTATAATTTGTACTCTTGAAAATTTCGCTGCAGAACACTCTCTGAATTCATTTTGCAATGCTCTTCTTATTATTAATAATTATTGCAGTGTATTCAGGATACAATCTTTACTTTTCTCAAATTCTGGATTTTTTCCCTGGAAAAACCTGGGAAAAAAATGAGGCAAATTTACTCATCGCTGAGTTCCTGCACTTTATTTCTTATTTCTGAGATAACTAAACTCAAATTTGGGTCGTTCTCATTCGCCGTGATATCACCTTGAAATATATCGGCGCTGGTGGTTAGCGTGATTATTTTTCAGGAACACCTTCAGCACACCTCGTAAATCAGACTGGAGATACGTCAGACACCGCCACGGCGAGCCAGACGACGGATGGTGGTTATCTTGAAGAATTTGCGTTTGGTTCTGAATATGGCGATGAGTGTGCAAAATATTACGCAATTCCATCCTCCCTACTCGCACGCCTCCGAGGATCGGAGGCAAATGCCACTTCAACTTGTTTCCTCTACTTACTACTCTCTGACGACTGTGCTGGGGAAGCAGCATATGCATGTAGGTAATTGGTGGATTTGTTAGTTAGTTCTACGCTTTTGGACAATGCTGGACATTCACCAGTTTTTCAATAGTTTCTTGTTGAAAATCAACATTCGGAAGCATTGTTATCGATGCGTAGCCATATTTTTGATCGATTGGTGATAAAATTATTGAAATTGGACCAGGTGCAGCTGAGTTATTAACGTTCAAAATCTTTCTTAATTTGTTACATGTTCCATTTTCGGTTTTCACAAAGTGTACCCCATATAGAAATCAAAGACGTAGTCCCACGTCAAAAAAATAATCAGAGTGATAACTCACTTCCGTTTCAACTTGTCTCTGTGTACCTTATAGATATCAAAACTAGAATCGAATTCTGATCGATTGGAAGCTGTCCCATCAAAATCTACCAATAAATGATTAAATGGGAGCAATATCCACTTTGTTGATGAAATAGCTTAGGTGCGGAAAGGTTAACTAACGCTCTTACTGAAGAGTTAAAGGCTAAAATATGCTCAAATCTATGGGGGTTATTCCGAAAGTCGAAGTAACTTTTGTCACTAGTGAAGTGAGAAAGCTCACGTCGTGGTGACGTGACTCTCCATTTAATTTGCACATAGAGTCACGTCACCACGACGTGACTTTTCTCATTTCACTAGTGACAAAAGTCACTTCGACTCTCGGAATAACCCCCATAGATTTGAGCATATTTTAGCCTTTAACTCTTCAGTAAGAGCGTTAGTTAACCTTTCCGCACCTAAACTACGACTCTCGGAATAACCCCCTATATCTACACAAAAAATATAATAATGTAATGTGACCGATTTTGCGAACAAAATTACATACTTTGATGTAATATTGTATCTGCTTTTGCTATTACATTCATTATTTCATACATCAACTTGAATTACGCTGATCTGATCGATATTACATTTTTTTTGCAGGGACAATCAAGCAACTCGTGCAACACGAGAAAAGGGCCTATCATTGTTGATAGATTCTCTTCATCGATTTTCTCTTTCGCGAATAACCCGACTGCAAATGAATTTCCCATTCAGTGTGTTGCTTCAAGCGCAAACTAACATCATCTTCTGTCGAACTGTGCTGCAAGCTTAGCGAGAAATTCGTTTATGTTGCCGTGGTAAACCAAAGAGAAAGTCGATGAAGAGAATCGGTCAACGAGGATAGGCCCTTTTCAAATGTTACGCGAGGTAACAATCTTTTTTTTCACCTGTCTGTATGGCAACTTCCCATAGTTGATGGTACGTTGAAAAAACTTACTAGAATCAACCATCGTTTTCATTTACACCGCATTTTTCATACAAAACAAAAAATATGTTTAAATGTATTTGAACATTAACGAGAATAGCTGGTTAAAAAATCGGACATCCCTCTATCTCTTCAACATCAATGGTGAGTTCTGAGCAGTTTTTCGCATCGTCGCTACCCAATGAGTACAGAGAGAGGTGAAGCAGATCGTGAAATATGGTAATCCAAAAAATCAACGTAAACGTAATTAGTGACGTCGTACAGGGGTTTTACTCACACAACTTAACCGACTGCTTCACCTCGGTAATCCAGCTCATTGGTTGCTACCCACGCGAGTTGAAGGCACTCACCCCCCACCCAGCTGAGAGCAAACCTTGTTGGGCGCGCAACACGCTGCTAGGGTCGACTCGTACATTTCAACCACACCTGTTGCGCGCCATTCAATCACCATGACAATCGATGGCACCAAACATAATCCGCGTTTAATCGATATTCTCACAATTCGTTCGTTTTTCAGCGAATGTGAGTCTGTTTTGTTCAAGCTGGTGCAAAATGTTTTCCCAGAACATGTTAATTCGCGACGGCGAATACACCAAATCTATTTACACAATGGTAATTTACAACTAACGATCGATGGAAACCATAGCTAACACACCCATCTTATACAGATTAAAGAGGAACGCTTCTTGGAAGCAATCAACGTTCTGAATGGTATTCCGGAGGTATCGACGACTCGAGCCGGGCTGTCACTTCTGGGCCATTGCTATTACCACACGCAGAACTTCATCGAAGCTTCCAACTGCTACGAGCACATCGTCAATTTGGTTCCGGATGTCCCGGAGTACAAACTATATTACGCCCAGTCCCTTTTTCAAGCTGGACTGTTCGAAGAAGCTCACAAGATCACCACTTCGTTGGATGCTCCACAGTTGAAGGACAAAGTACTGCAGCTCCAATCGGCCATCGCCTATGGTAATGAGGACTACTCGACAGCTCAATCTTTGCTGCTGCAGAGGCAGGGAACGGGACAGGAAGCGTCGGTAAAGAACGATGAGGGTTGTCTACTGTACCAGGCAAACATGTACGAAGATGCCTTGCAGCGGTACGTTTCGGCCCTACAAGCGGGTGGATTCAATCCGCACATTGCCTACAATGCTGCCCTCTGTCACTATCGTAAGAAGGAAAATTCGCAGGCTCTCAACTACATCGCAGAGATAGTTGAGCGAGGCATCAGAAATCACCCGGAATTGGGCGTGGGTGCACAGGCCGAAACCGAAGGCGGTGCTCGCAGTGTTGGCAATCCACCTGCGTTGGCCGCTTCTGGATTGGCACAAGCTTTCAATCTGAAGGCGGCTATCGAGTATCAGGAGGGCAATGGTAAGAACTTAGCAGACTCACTAGTAACACGACTTCCATAAAACAAAACTTTCTTGCAGCTGAAGGGGCTCGTGAAGCTCTAACTGATTTACCACCGCGCTCGGAACCGGAACTGGATCCAGTAACACTACACAACATGGCATTGACCGATCCTATTGGTGGTGGAGCAGGCCTCCGACGCTTGGCATTCCTCCTGGAGCTTGGACCACCAACGTGTCCTCCGGAAACATTCGCCAATCTGCTACTTTTGTGCTGCAAGCATGAAATGTACGATACAGCTGCTGACATCCTTGCCGAGCACACCCATCTCACTTACAAATATTTGTCTCCATATTTGTACGATCTGTTGGACGCTCTCATCACGGCTCAGTCAACCCCGGAAGAAGCCGAGCAGAAACTAGGCAGCTTGGCAAATAACATTGGAGGCAGGCTGCGTTCATTGGCTGCCAAGGTTCAGGAATGCCGATCGGCTCCGGATCAGAATGCTCTCCGTATGGCACTTCGCGAGTATGAATCCGCTCTCGAGAGTTATCTCCCAGTGGCGATGGCTCGTGCGTGGATTCCCTGGCGCGTGGATGATTTCCAAGGCGCAGAGAGAGAATTCCGTGCCAGCGCCGAGTTCTGTTCGGAAACTCCAACCTGGAGACTGCACGCGGCCCACGTGCTCTTTATGCGTGGAGATCGCTACAAGGAAGCGGCTGCATTCTACGAACCCATCGTTCGGCAGAACTACGATGATATTCTGGCAGTACCTGCGTCGGTATTGGCAAACCTTTGCGTTGCTTACATCATGACCTCACAGAACGAAGAGGCAGAGGAATTGATGCGTAAGGTTGAACGAGCCGAGGAACGCAAGGGGAACGCCAATGGCCAGTGCCTGCACTTGTGCATCGTTAATTTGGTGATTGGAACGTTATACTGCGCAAAGGGAAACTATGAATTCGGCTTGTCGAGGATCGCCCACGCACTGGACGGTGGATCCGGAGCAAGGTTATGCGCCGACACGTGGCTTCACGTGAAGCGCTGTGTTCTCGGCTTGTTGACGGGATTGTCCAAGCAGACGATTGTGTTGCCTTCGATTGCGATTCAGGAGACGCTCAGCTTCCTGCGCACGTGTGAAGCGTACGGGCTGGCGATTCCGTCGGTCCTGACGGGGCCGCTGGACGAAAGCGGAGAGCAACCACCGACAATCGGGTCGGAAGCGAGGAAGTTGCGGGCTCTGCTGCTACGGCTGATGGAGTATAAATAAGAGGAATGTTTAAAGTCTACCTTACTCGATTTATGGATAGTTTCATAAAAATGGATTTTATAATGTGTGTAAAATAAGAATGATGTTTCTTTTTCTTATCGCCATAGAGTTGCAATGAAAATTTTCAAGTGACTGTGCCGGACAGATTTGTCTATCAGACTTATTCTGAGAGTCGCGTGACTAGTGAGGTGCAAATCAAATGCTAAAGTATATATTTCGAAAACAAACTAATTCACACCCAAATAGGTGTTTTAGCAGATTTTTGACCAATTTGAGACCCCCCCCCCCCCTCTCTCGTATCGTATTTTACTACACCTAATACATGGTCGGTCACAAACCCGAAACACCACCTTCCCCAAATGCTACGTCATTTATGCATGTTCCTCAATGGCGAAAATTTCGGGAGGTTTAGGAGTGCGGAGTATATAGGAAAAGAAAATCAATTCAGGGGATTAGAAGGAAAGGGGTGTAAGTAACTTTGATCTATTCTCTTCATCGACTTTCTCTTTCGTTAATATTCAGCTGCAAACACATTCGTGTTCCATTCTGGATGCTAGATGAGAACCTCCTTTATCAAACTGTGGCAGAAATAGCGCAAAATCTGTTTATAAAACTGTGGCTATCATAAGAGAAAGTCGATGAAGAGAATCGATCAAAGTCACTTACACCCCTTTCCTTCTAACCCTCTCAATTCAAGTTGGAAGCAACTTTCACGGGAATATGAAATAGAATTCCGGGATAATCCGGAAAAAAATCTTTTCTATAGAGAGCTGGAAAAAGGGCCTATCTGTTTTGATCGATTGCTTTCCACATCTACACACTAAAATTTTTTCGCCGAGATTCCAACAGCCGAGACTCAGCTAACAAATAACATTTTGCTGCGATATCAGTTAACAAACAGATATTTACAGATATATCAGCAAAAGTTACTGCCGAGGTAATCGGCTTGGAGATTTTACCGAGCTAGATTAAGTGTGTATCGCCCAAATAGTCAAATACATCAGGGAATGTTGTTGCAGCTGAGTTACTAACGAAAGATAAAGTCGATGAAGAGAATCGATCAAAGCAGATAGGCCCTATTTCCAGCTCTGTATAGTTTTTAAAGAAGACAGAAGGTAACTTATCGGGTGAATTAAAAAAAAAGCATACGAATGTAGACGAACTGATGTTGTAGTAAGCCTTGAATTGGTACTCAATAAATATTCATTCTGTTTGTACTACTAGTCATAGACTTGTTTTACTATCGTAGAAACCTTTAGGTTACGGGCCCAGACAGGCACTATAGCTACGCGTAAACAAGTTGCAAACAATTGCATTGAAGATTTTGAAAACGGAAGATTTAAGTTCCTAAGATGTATTAGAAGCCAACGCATCGCGTTAGAAGGTGTGATAAGAAGAGCTGGGATAGACACTAGTGGCTTTGCCGATGTCATCGACATCATGACACGGAACTTTGAGACGATGGCGGATACGTACATCAAACTGAAGGCCTGAAGCTTGGCGGATTGGACTTGCCATCAACGCATCGAAGACGAAATATGTGAGAGGAAAAGAAAGAAGAGACGCTTTGTGGCAGGGAATCGTGTTTACTTTGGACTCTGGAGGACCATAGAGGTAACTCTAAGACCCGAAGAAACGTGCTCAACTGTTTGGCTCAGCTCTGGTACCATAGAGGTAATAGGTAGCAACAATTCGATGCAGCTAGGCGGTACTCTTCAACATAAGAATTCATTCCACCGGCGTTTTGGTAGAAGATCACGACGTCCTGCTTGCGGCAAGGAATCGAACGACTGCTCTCCCTGGAAATCACAGATACATCAGGCAATAACTGACCATCATCAAGTCTGATTGGATACTCGCCATAGAGAGTGGGTTGGAAGACCCCCTCACCACATCCGACAGCACGTCCGGAACGACTATGATGAACGAAGGCTGCTGATGGCAGGACTGAGACGGAGGGATTGGAGGCTTCCATGGGGCTTTCTACGGTGCGTTCCGGGTTCCCAGGATTGGGAGTTACAGAGGCATCATCACAATGACTAATATAGTTCAAATTGTTGCAAATTTGATCGGTATCAGGCTGTGAATATTCAATATATTGATTGTGCCGTACGCATGATAATGTTTGCACCATTGAGCAATGTCAAAACTTAAAAAAATCTCAAAAATTTCGTTTTCGAGTTTTTTATTTATTTAAAGAGAGGACAGGGCAACCGTTCCTCGTTCACCCTGCTGGCAGTGTGGGGCAATGCATTCTGTCAAAGATTGTTCCTACACAAACCACATCTGCAAGCAATGTAACAGGCAGGGGCACAAAGAGGGCTACTGCAGTTGTTTCAACCGAACAGTCAACAACGCCGGTGACAAACAAGCGCCTCAACAACAGAAGCAAAACAAGAAGAAGCAAAGTCAAGCAAACAGGATTCATTCGGTAAATCAAGTACACAGTGAGCGGAAGTACGTATCAACCCGGATCGACGGCCATTCTGTGAAGCTTCAACTTGACTGCGGCTCGGACATTCCCATCATCTCCGAGCAGAACTGGAGGAAATGCGGTTCACCCACTCTTTCGCGAACGGATCACAGAGCGAATACAGCATCGGGCGAGCAGCTGCCTCTAGTAGGAGAGTTTGCTTGTGAAATGCAGACCGGCGAAGAGCAGCAACACGGAACCTGTCACGTCACGTCAGTTAAGGGACTGAACTTGCTCGGTCTGGACTTCATGAACGCTTTCGATGTTTGGGCGAAGCCGTTGACCACCATCTGCAACCAGGGAAATTGTTCCAATTCATTCGATTCAACCAACCTCACCCGTTTTCCCGAAGTTTTCAGTGATTCCCTCGGACATTGCACGAAAACGAAGGTGAAACTCTACCTGAAACCCGAAGCGCAACCGGTCTTCAGGCCGAAACGACCGGTACCATTCCATACAATGCCCAAAGTTGATGAGGAGTTAGACAGATTGCAGCAGCTAAACATCATCCAGCCGGTGGACTACTCTGACTGGGCAGCCCCAATTGTCTCGGTTAGGAACCCGGGAGGAAAAATTCGAGTCTGCGCCGACTACTCTACAGGATTGAACGCGGTACTCGAACCACATCACTTTCCGCTACCAACACTCGAAGACATTTTCTCCAAGCTGCGGGTAGCAAAGTGTTCAGCATTATTGATTTATCAGATGCCTATCTTCAAGTCGAGGTAGACGATAACTCGAAACGGATGCTGACCATCAACACACACCGTGGGCTATTTCAATTCAACCGCCTGCCCCCCGGTGTGAAATCGGCACCTGGAGCCTTCCAGCAATTGATGAGCAAGATGATTGCAGGCTTGGAAGGTGTGGATCGTTTTCTGGATGACTTCCTTATCCACAGCAAGGACAGAGAAGAGCATGACCGTATTTTGGAGAAGCTATTCACTCGCATCCAAGAGTATGGGTTCCGTCTACGACCGGAAAAGTGCAACTTCTACAAAGAAGAAATCCGGTACCTAGGGTTCATCATCAATGCCAACGGTATCAAACCTGATCCTGAAAAGGTAACATCAATAGCCAAAATGCCGCAACCGAAAGACGTCACCGAACTCCGATCTTTTCTCGGAGCTGCACATTTCTACGGAAAGTTCGTCCGGGAAATCCATAGAATCCGGCACCCGCTGGATGATCTACTCAAAAAGGACAGGAAGTTTGTATGGAGTGACCAGTACCAGAACGCTTTTGACAGCATCAAAAATGTGTTGCAATCAGACTTGTTGCTTACGCATTACAACCCAGACATCGAGTTAATCGTAGCAGGTGATGCTTCGAAGACTGGCATAGGTGCCATCATTATGCATCGTTTTCCGGATGGGCAGATCAAAGCTATAGCACACGCCTCGAAAACATTGACCTGCACCGAACAGAAATATAGCCAGGTGGAGAAGGAAGCGTTGGCGTTGGTTTTCGCAGTAACGAAGTTTCGTCGAATGCTGCTGGGACGAAAATTCACGCTTCAGACAGATCATCAGCCGTTACTCAAAGTCTTCGGATCAAAAAAAGGTATTCCACTGCACACTTCAAATCGTCTTCAACGGTGGGCATTATTGCTGCTTGGATTCGACTTCAACGTGGAATATATCGCAACGGACAACTTTGGATATGCGGATGTACTTTCTCGGCTAATAAGCAACCATCAAAAACCCGAGGAAGAGTACGTTATTGCCACAGTCAGTCTGGAAGAAGAAGTCAACGCAAGCCTGGAGGAATGTCTCACATCGCTGCCAGTGAACTTCAAGATGTTTAAGACAGCTACAAAGAAGGACGTCCTACTGAAACAAGTCATACAGTACATTGACGGATGTTGGCCGAACAGCAGCAGTATCGCAGATCGAACCATGAAGACCTTCCATATTCGCCGTGAGTCTCTGTCAGTTGTCAATGGATGCATCATGATGAACGACCGTGTAGTGAATGTTACAGGCAACGCGTTCTAAAGCAGCTGTATCGGGGTCACCAAGGCATCGAAAGGATGAAAGCCATCGCTCGCAGTGTGGTCTACTGGGCCAATATCGATGATGATATTGAGGATCTGGTTCGTCGGTGTTGCATTTGTGCCAGTACAGCAAAATCTCCGGCGCATTATCAACCTCAACCGTGGCCAAGGGCAGACGGTCTATGGAAGAGAATCCATCTAAACTACGCAGGACCACTTGACGGAATATACTACTTAGTCATAGTGGACTCATATTCGAAATGGCCAGAAATTGTTCAAACTCGCTTGACGACAGCAGCTGTCACGATCAGATTTCTTCAGGAAACCTTTGCCAGATTCGGTATTCCGGAGACTATTGTTACCGACAACGGAACGCAGTTCTGTAGTGCTGAATTCAAGACGATATGTCAGCAGCTCGGAATTATCCACATTCGTACAGCGCCATATCACCCTCAGTCAAATGGCCAGGCAGAACGCTTTGTCGATACCCTAAAACGCTCATTGCACAAAATTGTTGAGGGGGAAGAAGTT